CAAAGTAAATCATATAATAATGCCTATTCATCCCTTTTTTCTCAGTCCGCTGGTGTTCCTCAAGGTAGTATCCTAGGTCCTATCCTTTACACAGTTTATACAGCTGATATCCCAACCCATCCTAACACAGTCATTACCACGTATGCCGAAGATACATGTGTCCTATCAGTTAATAACGACCCAATAATTGCATCCCAAACCCTTCAATCACACATCACAAACCTTGAAGAATGGTGTCAAAACTGGAGAATAAAAATAAATTCCAATAAATCCCATCAAATCACCTTTACCCTTCGTCGTAAACCTATGTCCTCTTGTCCTACAGTATCCTTTAATAATACCCCACTTATTCCTGTTGAACAAATTCGATACCTTGGACTCCACTTAGACAAACGTCTAACTTGGAATCCTCATACCAGACTGAAACGACAAGAAACAGCTCGACGTTTCCGACTACTCCAGCACTTACTAGATAAACGCTCTAACCTCCCAGTCAATTACAAAAGACTCATATACATGACTACAATAAGACCTATTTGGACATACGGAGTTGAGCTCTGGGGCTCCACTAAGCCATCGAATTCCTCTCGTATTCAATCCTTACAATCCAAAATCCTTCGTAAAATCCTCACTGCTCCTTACTTTGTCACAAACAAAATCATCCATAACGACCTTAATGTTCCTTATTTTTCTGACTTGGCCCAATCCAGATACCTATCCTTCCATAACAAACTTCAGAACCATCCAAACCCTCTCGTTTCTAACCTTGCTTCCTCTTAGATTCCTGACAACCCTCAGAGGCGTCTGAAAAGAAGATGGCCACGAGATCTCCTTTTGTAAATACATTTTTAGAGTGCTACCAATGGGTAGTCTCTCAACATGTGATTTCATGCTATTTTATTCCTTTGTTCACATTTACTGAATGTATTTTTACTTGTAATACAGTTGTAAATATCACCAATAAAATAAAAAAAAAAAAAAAAAAAAACCTATTTGAAATGATGTTTAAGAGATTCTTTAAGTCCTATTAAATGTAATTAAACGAAGAATAATACTTTTAGAGATAATTTTTTCATTAAACATGGTTATATTTACCATATTGGGAGGAGGAGTGGACTTCAGCCCGAAAGCCCTCCTCCCTCCTCCGCAGATTAGCCATTGTTTTTGAGTAACCGTTAAAGCTCATATTTAATTAATATATAAATATTTATCAAATTTTTTGGTTAGGAATTCACTATTAGTAATAATAAAAACACTTATTAGGTCCAATCAGTTCTCCTTTACAGTAGGACTAATGAGATCTAATGAGTGTTTTTATTATTACTCATACTTAATATTTTCATGTTACATACTTCTGACACGATAGCCGGTTCCAGAGGATTCTGTATATTATTCCATACAACGTTGCGAATACCATAAGCCTGAAATATGATTAATAAAATTGTTTTTATTACAAATTACTCTAAATAATATTATTCATTTTTATTAAAAAATATTTTTTTAAAATCAGGAAAAAAAGAGTGTCTACCATACACACATGGACTTAATATGCTTAGAATTACCACAGCTCATAAAAAATACAATTTTCTGTGGAATTACTCGAAATGCCGTCTTTCAATGGATCAATTTTATTTCTCTGTGAGTGATGACGTCATCTACAAGCTTCAAAATTCGTTAATTTCCGTCGGTTTTCCCACTTCTGGTTTAAATCTAAATCATACTATTCTATTCGCATTCAGTAATGGCACATTTTTTATGTCAATTGATACAATGTCCAGCTTTCTAGCATTTTCAAAAGAAGAACAATTGGCGTCAAAAAATAACATCTGAAGTGCCAACAAAAAAAAATTATGTCTTAACACCTAAGATGAAGATCCGCAATTCTTAATTGAAACATCATTTATTTCCTCTCCCCCCCCTTATTTGAACTTATGAAAACCTACTTTATTTAGCGTGATTAACCAGTCGAAAGTAACAATTTATATGGTGACTTGTTGCCCCTGAACCAATTCCGACTTCATAAAACCAACCAAGAATGCTTAAAAAATCATCACGACTTAGTATCAATAATTCGTTTCAAATACATATAAATTATTAAAGGCCATTTAAAATAACAATAATAACATGACAATACATACCTCATCGGAGAGTTGAGTTCCTTTGTAAAGAAGGAAATAAACTAATACAACATGGAGTATAACCCAAAAAGCATATCTTATAAAAACTTCAAAATTTCCGTCATTTATGCCACCGACCAAAAAATAAATTGAGAATGAAATTGTATTCATAATTATAACCAATAATACAAATAGCATTGAAAGGCCGTAATTTCCTCTCATTTTATCAACTATTTCGCATAGTTCAATATGACATTTTCCCAACACTCGAATTATCTGAATATTTCTTGATTCAATAGGTCTGCCTATTAACAAGGAAGAAGTTATAGAATCAAATGAATAAAACAAATTGCAAAGGCTAGAGTTAAAATTAGATCGAAGTAAAATTTTTTTTTTCAAGAAATACAAATATCATAGTTATAATGTATCCATATCGAGCAATTGCGCTGAATTACACGAGCTCAACTTACTTTTTTACTCAGCAGTAAAAAGTGGGTATTTGATATTTTATTTACTAAAGTATAGAATTCGTCAACAGGTGTGTCCGATGACAAGTGTACATTCAGGTGAATAGTTCGACAGTTTTAAACAATTATGTTAATGTTATCGATAGTGTGAAATTGAATAATTCATTTGAAACCTAAGCGGTTTCCAACATTTAATATCTTAACGTAGATGAAGTTGCTGTATGTATTTCTTTTCTTTTTTTATTCCTGAGTTATATTTTTGAACGAGCTTCAAATGAAAATTTAACATTATTCTAATTAGGTCCTATATAATTTTCAATTTTTTTAATGTCATTTCGGAACTAGAAATTTTTTCCGTAGAATATTTTAATAAAAGGTATTAAGAAGCTTTTATTTAAAATTTCTATTTAAGCAATTCATTTCGCCAATATCAAAACATAGCAATTGAGCAGTACACTCTTGGCTACACAAATAAAAACAAAACAAAGATTAAATAATTTATCTAAGATAAATTATATATTTACTCAAATCAAAATTACTGATTATTTCTTATTTAACGTACCTAACTCTTTTTTAAGAACTCAAATAAATAAAGTTAAACTTTAACCACAAACCCAGAATGTTACTAGAAAAAAGTTACTTTGAACTTTTATTTTTAAACCTTTTTCCTGAAACGTATCATCAAAAACTGTTAAAAATGACATTTTTAAAACAAATTTCCATGAAAATTTCAAGCTCTGCCTAGGTCAACAAACACTGTACCTTTACTTTGCAATTGAATTTAAGCAATACATAATTTAAATGAATCAGATAATATGAATAAAAATATGTGTTTATACTCTAATAATCATTTCCAATATAAATTAGAGATCAGTTACCAACCTGTAATTTTGTTTATCGTTTTACATTCATCTAATAACGATTCCAATTGTAAATTGATCTCAGAAAACCGTAAATATAATTTATCTGTAAAGTCAGCAATAGTGAATACATCCATAGTTCCGACCGTCAGAGACAAAAGACGAGAAAACGATCGCGGGTTCATGAGAATAACATTCGTTAATGAAACTAGAATCCAAACTGCAAAAAATACAACAAAAAACACAACTGAATTCCGCAGGCGGTTCATATTCATATTTAAATACTTATCTATCTTTATAAACTTTGATTCTTCACTATTTCTGGCAACATGAAAAACTTGGGCTCCGATGAGATTTACAGTAGAAAATAAGACTCCTGTTAAATCTCTAGCCAAGTAAGTGTATTTCTTTACCCCATCAATTTTCAAAATATCTGAGTATACATTTCTAATGTATACATTATAGATATAATGGAATTCTCCATATATGATGAAGAACAACACTATAGCAGAATAAATAAATGAGAAATAATTTAAATAGATACATTTTCGATGGAAAATGGGTGCTAGACCTAGAATTTTAAGAGAAATATTTAATAAAATATCGAAATTGAACATATCCCAACAGAATCAATTCAGAGACTGAATGGGAAAAATATATTACACGTTCCTTCAAATGAGTTATAAATTGACACTATCAGGAAATTGACACTATTAGTTATCGATTTATTTCAGGATTAACCTAGTGTTATGTATACCTATCAATTTATCATATCAACCAGTACTAAAATCAATCTCTAATGATTGAGGTCAAGGTTTGAAAGTTTTAATTATATTTACTATTATTTTTTTATAATTCTGGCTTGAAGTACTATTTTCATTTTAAATAATTTAAACTATTATTTTTCATAAAATTTTTTTCCTAATGAAGAGAAATGAGTATTTTGTACAAAATACATATACCTCCCATGAAAGAACTGTACGGAAATAAAACAGAAATTGGAGTTTGCAACGTAGGCTTTATAAAATATATTAGAGATGTTTTCCTCCCTTTTTAATTTTGAATTAATTTTCAAACAAGTTATTCATTAAAAAAATTATTGAATACAGTAAATATGGTATGAGATTTATTCTAATATATTGTTCATTTATATATTTTTAAACATGAGCATAATAGTATGGAAGATTGTGAAATTTGAAATTATTAATAAATTCATGACCTGGCACCCTCATAGAAAGTAATATGTTTGGAGAAAATACTTGTTAGTGAAAATAGTATAAAGGATAAATGGATCTCTTTGGTTAAAAGTTCTTTTGATCAATCAATTTCTGAACGTATTTTGGGAGGTTAAATCGGTTTCGCCTTTAACAGTGGGTATATTTAATTTGACCATGAGTTATCAGGGCTTTAAATTATTATTTGAAAAATTATAATCATATTACAATGATTCGAAGTACTAATTTGATTTACTTATAATACTTACTTCTTATCAAACAATATATTTTATTATATTCCTGTTTTAATTTGTCTGCCTATGTAGTTTATTACTTATTAAAATGACAGTAACAGATTATTTAGCTTCTTTGGGAGATAATCCCTATTTCGGTGCTGGATTTGGACTATTTGGCATTGGTGCTGGAGCTGCTATTTTAAGAAGAGGTTTGCAAGGTGCTGTCATATACTTTAAGAGAAACCATATGATTACATTAGAAGTTCCTTGTCGGGACAAAAGCTATCAATGGCTCCTCCAGTGGATTACTATTAAAGGTGCTAGGAAAACTCAACATCTTAGTGTCGAAACCAGTTTTGAACAACATGACACTGGCCTCATAAAAACTAAATACGACTTTATTCCAAGTGTTGGAACACATTTCTTTCGGTATGTGCTAGTTTGATACTTCACCATTTTTTAAATAATTAGTTATGTCAAAATGTGTTGTAAAAAAAAATCCGATATAGTCCATTAGTGTTGGTGATAAATAACATGAGAGATTAATATTAAATAGTCCACTTTCCTAAATGATAATTGAGATGTTCAGATTATGTACACCAGGAGATGGCATATATTAGCGGTAAACTCTTTATAGTCGTTACTAGATTAGTAGTTCATATGTGGCATGATTAGTTGAAAGGTGAATCCAGATCACATCTATCGCAAAGAATCCTGAAAGTAATTGAGTTTGTCTGAAAGTATATTAAGTTGATCGGCCTCCTTATGCTTGATGAGGCCCCAATATCAGCTGAGATTAACTATTCGGGGATTTTTTTATTCCTTGAGTGAATAGATCTTTGAACATTATTGTCGATACTCAGCTACTTTTGAAATTTTATTCACTATATAATCATTGTGATCTTGAACCTCTATTTATATAGATAGGTGATAAATTATCTTATGCTATGAGAATCAAATCTGTGTTTTTCGTATTTCGTCAATATAATTGAAGCCAATTCTTGGTGTTGATAAAAAAAATCAACTGGGCCAACTGTTAGTTATAAACCATACAGCTCCCCTTTACCAATATTAATATTTCATATTCAATTTATGTAATTTATAAGATTAATGGAAATTGTATGTAGTCTCACACTTGATTTTTGTTTTCTTGCCGGAATTGATATTTCAAACTTACCAGAAATGGATTCTCCTTCATTTATTAATTAATTTTTATTTTTATTTTATCAGTTAATCTTGTTAAAATGTTTTATTTCAGATATAAAGGAAATTGGATCAAGGTTGAAAGGACCAGGGAGCAACATACATTAGATTTGCATATGGGTACGCCTTGGGAAACAGTAACACTGACTTCTCTTGGAAAAAATAAGGAACTGTACTTTGAAATATTGGAGGAAGGTTAGGAGGTATTTTCTTACTTGATTTGCCATTTGGTTTTATACATAAATTTAGTTTTTGTTAGAATACATTTAATGTCAATATGATGAAGACCATTATTGGTAACATTCATAAGAAAACTGAAGTTCAAAACAATGTTGTTGTTTTTTTTTGTAAATCCTGTAATATTAATCAAGTACATTAAATATTTGTATTTTATATTGCCACGTAACTGTCGAATTTTTATATTTCAGGAGAGCTAAAGAAAGTCATGAACTTAAATTTTTTATCATATTGAGATATGTTTTAAAAAATATTAAGTTCTTGTAAGTTATTTACTAAAAATTGAAAAAATAAATACAATTGATTAATTGCTGTTTTATGTATACTTTAGGTAATAATAAAATAACCTTGATTAAAAAATGCTTTGTTCTCACCACTTCGAGACTGAGGATATGAATACTGCTGATGTCCTACATTAGATCAATAAATTTAACCATTATGATCTTTTAAATTCTGATTAAGTTAAAAAAGTTAATTAACATTTTTAAATTAGTGTTGCCATCTGACTGTTGCATTTGCTTTAACCCTTAATATTTTTTTTTTACAGCTCGTCGAATGGCCCTTACACGTAATGAGGGGAAAACAGTTATGTATACTGCTATGGGTCCTGATTGGAGACCATTTGGCCATCCTCGTAAAAGAAGGCCTATTGGTTCAGTTGTCCTCGATAAAGGTATCACTGAGAAACTTGTTGCCGATGTTAGAGATTTCTTAAGTGCTTCACAATGGTATGGAGACAGAGGTATCAATTCATTTATAATTTAATACTTCTTTATATTAAGTTTTGAAATCAATATATTGTAATTCAAATTATATTTAATTTCATTTCATTTGTTCCTACTTATTAATCATTCTCTTGAAAGAATTATGTATATCTGTGGTCTTTTTCGAGGAATTTCATGAAACTAGTTGTTTCTATTTTTCGACCGACATCTAAATAATCTCCTTGATTTACTGTAAAGCCAGCCAACAACACATTATAAATAAGAACAGGGAATAAGAATGCCCCCATCTAATATCACGCAACATAGATTTTTCTTGAAAGACGACAGAAGACATTCATTTGCATAGTATTTTCAGGAACTCGGATAATCCTGAGATCAGTAACAATACGAATCTAACCTGGGTTAACAGAAAACCAAAATTATAAAGAAATATTGAACTTAAAAAAAAAAACCTGTACCACTACAACCCATGAAGGGTCTGAAGTTCAGTACTATTTAGGGAAAGCACTGTTTCTAGGTCAATGGTTGTGCAAGGAGGTGATTTGAACGAGATTACGCTCAACCACAAGGTTTTCCCCCTTAATTAAGGGTACCCACTTTATAGAGGCTGGGTGTGCCCCAGGAGGGTCTCCCGACCCAGGATCGCTCCGTGGCCAATGAAACAGATAAATAAATATTGATATTGAAATATTGAACTTAATGCTGAGTATAAATCATCAAAATAATTTTTTTTTTGTTATGTAGTTTTGAAATTAAAATGTTATACCAAGCAACTGATGTAAGACAATTTTTCCTCACTTTGAATAAAGATTATCAGTCATTATTACTTTTAGAAGCAAAGTGTCACATACGTTATTGTTCTTGTTTGTTTGTGTGAATTAACATTTTTCATTTTTTAAATATGATTATGGTAATTTGGCTGCAACTATTAGCTTATAAGATATAATAAAAATATACTAAAGTTCTGAAATTTATTCAATTGGGACTTACGTCCAGAATGAGTGAAATTTATTTTTCATTTGGATTGGATTAAAGTATGCATACATTTTATTACCTTGTATACTCCTGGCTTACGTTATTATTATGCCTTTGCTAAGACATTAATGACATATGTTATTATTTAAAATTAAAAATGTATATTTTCTGGATGGCAAGTAAAACCTTTGCAGTTTTTTGCAGGAATACCCTATCGTAGAGGCTATCTACTTTATGGGCCCCCAGGTTGTGGAAAATCGTCGTTCATTACTGCATTAGCTGGAGAATTGAATTTTGGAATATGTGTACTTAATCTTAGTGAACGCGGGCTTACTGATGATCGCCTAAACCATCTGCTTGCTGTGGCCCCACAAAATTCAATTATACTTTTGGAGGATATTGATGCAGCGTTTGCTAGCAGAGAAGATAGTCCTAAAGGTTTGCCTTATTTTATTTTTATGCTATATTTTAATTTCTACCAATATTACCCAATTTGCATAAGCTTCTAATGAGTTATTGTTAACTGTATTTAAGAGATTTGAATCCTAATATATTATTCATATAAATTACTTTTGGTTATTAATGAGTGCTGTTGTTGTTTGGTATAAATGTTCTTTTACGCTCCTACCAAGGTGGGAATTGTATATTTATAGAACATTATCTGTTTTAATCAGTGCAGGAATTGCAAAAATAAAAAAGATATTTTAAGGATCACTTGTTAAATAATTTTTAATACACTAAAATGTGGGAACCACCTCTTTAACTTGAGGTTGCCTGAGTGCTACTTCCGAACAAATGGCTACTGCATAACATTGAGCTTACATTATTTGCTATGCATGAACTCTTTCTTACCTAAACTGCTTCATTTTTAACTCTTAATTGTCTTTTTAATGTAAAGATTATTTTTTCAGTATTGTTAATTTCATTTGTTAAAATTTATTTGTAAAATAAAAATATAAATTCTAACACTGCTAAACTCATTTTTTTATTATAGTGAGTTAGGTAGCTAACTGGATTAGTTTCTTGATGCTCGATCGAATGGTAACATTCATTTCTCAAATATATGTTTCTAAGGTATTTTTAGATTGAAATATGATATAGGGTCATTGTTGAGCAATTTTTTTCTTTAACCTTTTGTTAAGTTGTGAGAATTCAGTCGTGCGGTAGGACTTTAAATAGTATGTTAAAATTATTTTTATGATTGTGGATTGATGATTGACTGTAGTGAATAATTGAAGAGAAGTATGGTTGGGATGATCAGTCAAAATAAAAAATAGTAAAAATAAATACTTATATTAATTTTTATAATTGCCAACGTTTGGGTCCGAAGTTCAGGCCTTTATCACACAGACGTATGTATATATATTTATTTGTAATTAAAAAATCTCTCCATTTATTGAATTATTGAATACAATTTCTGAATATGAAGTGATAATTAAACTAAATATTCATCACTATGCTTGTGATTATGAAAATAAAATAAAAAATACGCATATCTATTTTCTATAATGAAAAGGAAAATTAATCATCCAAAGTTTAAATATAGACTTATGGTACATTTATTTATTAAATATAAAAGTAAAAAAAAAAAAGATTTTTTTAAAGAACCTTCATCCTGATCTTATAAGAACCTTCATCTTTGATGTATAGGTTCAACTACATATTTCCGCAGTAGTAGCCTTAGACGTTTGGCACCTCTACGTCATGAGTGCCTGTTCCTTAGACCTTAAAAAGAAAAAATAAGGAAGATTAAATGAAAGACATTGAATATTACTTTATATTTCATTCAACATTTATTTAATTCAATCCATTTATTAAAAATTGAAGAAGGATGGTTGGGTTGATCCGTCAAAATAAAATAGTAAAATAAATAATTGTCTTTATTTTCACATTCGCCGACGTTTCGGCCCGAAGTTCAGGCCTTCATTAGGGCTAAGAAAAGAAGTCAACTACAGCCAACCATCAACCCATATTTATTAAAAAGCTTTCTAATTGTTAATTATTACATAAGGTCGGAATTGTTCATACCTTTATGTTACTATCATCAGCTCACTGCAGATTGTGGACTATGTATTGTTAATCCTAATTTAAGATTTTTAAATTTATATATAGTGGCCGCTGCCTACGAAGGACTCAACAGGTTGACTTTTTCTGGGCTTTTGAACTGCTTAGATGGAGTTGCGAGTACTGAAGCTAGGATTGTTTTCATGACTACTAATCATTTAGAAAGGTAATGCTGCTTATCATATTAACAATACTGTCAACATATAAAAATAAGTTTATTTAGTTATTTATTATTTATACCAAATTTATTTGTTTTTATTAATAAAATTAATAATTTCGAGGAAATAACTTTATTTAACCCTTACACCTCCAATCATACTTCAATTCATTATTTTTTTTTTTCGATGACATTTCAGGCAATTTTGCCCATTTTCAAGTTGAAATATTTATCTATAATATTACAATACAATAATTACAAATATATATGTAAAAGATATAACAGCATATAAATAACAATCAATGAAAATGCCAAAAAAAGTCAAATTAATAGAATAAAATATCTACTTACATCATTATCCTATCATCTATGTAATATTATTTTTTATACAATTTTTCTTTTTCGTCTTTTTACATTCTTCTAATATTAATTTCATAACTTATTTATGAAAATTCAATTTAAAAATTAAAATAAAAATACTTAATCTCACATAAAAATACAACACGTCTCAAATAAGAAAAGGCAAAAAAAAAGAATTTTTCTACAATTTAACATACTATTTTATAAATTACTTTTGGACCGTCAAAAAATTAAACATTTTTTTTAATTTACATCAAATTTTACACATTTTCGTCCTTTTTATACAATAGCCTTATGTCCACTTTGAGCTGTGGGCTTACCTATTATTATGCTCTTTGAGATTAAGAATACTGCATTATTTTAATAAAGTTATTTTCTTGAAATTATTAATTTTATTAATTAATTATAAATCCTCTTGAAAATTTGGAAGACTTATTTATTTTTATTTTTACTAGGTTATTAGTCATCTATTTCTTCTCTGATACAGAGATTACGTATCTACCAACGTAATACCAAAGAACATCTGTCATTTTTAAAAAGTTGAGAAACAAATTTGTCTGTATCATAGCTTCAATTTAAACTAATTCTAATGATTTTTTTCATGACTCAACTTGAACATTCTTAATCATCAGAGTGAATACACCGTTATTCTTAATCATCAGAAACAGTCTGAGTTGAACTTATAAAACTACAATCGACTTTATTTTCACTTTCTGAAAATGACAGAGATCCGTCTTTGAAATGAAGCCACTCATATATTTTCATGTTTAATTTCATTATTGAATTTTTTTATATTTAATGCATTGTTTAATGTTCAACTTTGTGTTGATTATTGTATGGCAAGTAAAAATGTAAATGTTCGTTTGTTCAAACTCTCAAATCTCGGAAAGTTCTTCACCCATTGCCTTGAAATTTTGGCTTAACGTTGTCTGTTTAATGTTAAAGAAAATAATTTATTAATAAATACAATAAACTGAAATCAATGAAAAACTGATTTCTAAAAGGAACATAAATGGTGATAATTATTACTCAAGAGTTAAATATTTTTAAATAATAGCAAATCAAACATTTGAGATATATCATACTACTTCCAGAATACATTGGGGGAAAATAAAAAATGAATATAAAGAGTGTATAGTAGTATTAACTACATAAGGAAAGTCATATCACTTCTTCAAATAATACTACAGTAATTATGAAATTTTTGATTAATCAATAACAAAAAAAAAAAGAGAATGGCCTTTGCTGAAGAGAAAGTATTAAATGTTTAAATCTATAACTCTGCAACCAATCGTCCGATTTTGATGATTTTTTTTTTTGTAGGTAATTCAGAATACTTTCAAATAAATATGGGCATTATTCATAAAAAATTGTGTACTTTCTTGTTATTGATAAATAAAATTTTGAATTCATCATACAATTTTTTCAGTTTGTTTTCAGGAAAGTATGTTATACACATAAATTAAAATGATTTCGAAGGGAAGACTTAAGCCAAGTTTCGTTAAAGCCATTTTGGCCCTACAGTTTGCAGCAATACGTTTTTCGGCCGCCATTTCGAAATGAAAGGCTGGATGGTAATAAAATATTCAAAAAACACTCCTGAATTTGATTGCAACGCTGTGTCAAAATTTCAAAGCAATCAGTGAAGAACTTTCAGAGAATAGCTGCGTTAAACAAAAAAAACATTTACATTTTTATTTTTTTTACACATATAAAATTATCTTAAGACTGGAGTACTATGCCAGAAACCTTCGCGGGAGTGTAAGCAACAACTTCCCAAAGTTTCATGGTGACCAGATGAATGGTTTAGCAATACATAAAGGACAAACAGACAGGCGAACATACATTAATTTTTATATATATAGATTTTAGTCTTTGTAAAAAAGTTTTTTTTAGTGAGCATCAAATTTCATTCAATTTAATATTATAAAAATCCATAATAAATTATGTTTGCCCAGAAAAATATATCATATTGATTAAACAAGTTAATAAAGACATTAATTTCATCAAAATATGCTTTCAAGAGTTCTGCAGCAAGGGCCTTCAGCCATTTTAATTTGTGATTGATTCCTTTATTTATTTCAACATATAATAAATGCTACTATAATTCTTTTTAGGTTGGATCCTGCTTTAGTAAGACCAGGGAGGGTAGATCTGAAAGAGTACATTGGGTATTGTTCCAACCATCAATTAGAGCAGATGTTCAAGAGATTTTATTTGACAGATAAACCAGAACTGCCTTACCAATTTGCCACTTCCGTGTTCAAGTTGTGTCCTAATGTTAGCCCTGCCCAAGTACAAGGCTTTTTTATGAGGCATAAAAAAGATATGCCTGAAACAGTTTTAGCATGCATCAATGAAATATTGGAGGATGGAAAATGATTGAGTTAGGTATCGCCAACTAGAAACAAACAATAGAAGTGATGCATTTATTTAAGATTTTATCATTAGTCTAATATATCATTTATTGAGAGAATGTTTGTAAACTGGTGTAGTATTTAAGAAAAATTAATAGTAAAAAAATAATTTTTTGATGGAAAACAATATATAAAGAAATTTTATATTACCAAAAAAAAAAAAGTAAAAATTAGGGTTTTTAACTTTTTGTAAAAAACCATTAATTCCTTGTAAATAAATATGCAATGTATTGTGAAATTGTAAATCATGACTTGTAAATTAATAATTTTATTTCATAGTTGTAACTAGCTGTACCAAACCAAATTGTTATAGACCTGAAATTATCGATGGAGAGTTATTAAAAATGATTTTTTAATAAACTTTTGTATTTTTTGATGAAAAATACTCCAAAAGTATTTGATGGTTTTTTTATAATCCAGTATTCTTTGAACTTATGATCACAGATTGAGGAGAAAAAAAAAGATAATAACTTAAGATAACATTATTGATATCTGATAAAGCCACACTTCAAAGATTTATGTTTGAGATTCAATAGTTGTAGTTAAAAAATGTTGAACTACTTTATTCCAGCATTCATATTTCTTATTTCTGTACAAAGCAGCATTTCTTTTAAAAGTGATCCTACCAAGTAAGGTTCTTTAATTTTTTTTTAACTTTTCAACAAAATTTGTGTATCATGTATATATAGGTATATAGATCCCTTTGTTTCTTTTTTAAGTAACTTTATAGAAAGATCATTTTTGAAATATGGAGCACTCGCCATGAAACATGGTATCTAACATTTCTTATTAATTAAAGTTTTTGGAAACACCATATTCCTTGTGGCCAATTTTGTGGGTTCAGGGAATCTGTTTTTTTTTTTTTTTTTAGAGTAAGTTTGTATTTAACTATGGTAAGTAATTGCTGTGTGAAGGTGTATTATTGTAACTAATAACATTTTAGCATAATATTTTTTTTTTAATTTCATTAGTTAATATGTTTTACAACCGGATGGCCCATTAATATTTTTAAAACACATTTTTCATGAGATTTGACACATCAAGTCTTTGATATGAGGGTGAAGCGCTTTATATTGCTTAACAATTATTGCAATGCTTCAATTAAAAAAATAAATGTAATGAAATAATAAAAAAAAAAAATTAAATATATAAAATTATTTTTTAAGTAAAATATAGTTTTGTTAATTGCTAGAGTATAGTTTAGGAATGAATTATAATTTCTTTTTTCTTATTCTACACTGTTTTTTTTAATGTGGAATGTACTATCTCTTTCATCTGCACTAATATGATTTTGTGGTTTTTAGTCTAAATGCTTGAATTGGAGAAAAGTATATAATATAATGTTCATTGTTCCTAATTTTGGTGCATTGAGGTTTTCATTTTTATAATTTAAGGCGATATTCCTTCAACATTTTATTTCTTTTATATTATCTCAACAACATTTTATACCTTCTATGCTAATATAATAAACAATATTTGTATATAATATAATAATTAAATAAATAAGCAAATTTCAAACCATGATTTGGATAAAATAGCAAACGGTTACAGAATAATAGATAAAAAACTAAGGTGTGTGCTTTAGATCTCAATATATAAGTTAAAACATCAACCAGGCGAGATTAATAATATGAAATATAAATTATAAATAATAGTTCATTACAAAGAAGATGAAATGCTGAACTATTCCCTCACTTACAGTATACAGGTACAATTTTTAATATATGAAATATTGTAATCCATATGTTCAACCAACCTCGTTATTATTTGGTTTTTGACACTATTTTTTACTTTTTGCCCCCTAACACATTTAATACTAACGGCATCGCATTAAAATACAATTTTGAACTATAGACTTCTACAGAGAGGAAGAATTGCTGAACGTTTTCCTCTCTTACAGTATACAGGCCCAATTTTTAGTTTCTGAGATATTTTAATCCATATATAAAAACATTTCAAATAGTCGACTTTACCCGAGCGTTAATACTTCAGAAATCTGACGGATCAATCTAATTCACTATCCACTAAAAAGTGCAAAATGCGCCTAAAGAAGTTTTCACTTCAAAACCCCCTCTCCGTTTTACCATCCTCATCAGGACGACATAAGTCAGTTCCTCTATAGATGATGAAGAGGAAACCCTAAAATAGGACAATTCAATTCTCAGATTAAGGAAAATGTTACTGAGTATGGATATATAGTTGGAGGACTCAATTAAGGTAAAAATTAAATTCTTATAAACGTTTAAATATTATTTAAATGATAGGCAATTAAAAAAAACAAAATAATTGATGTAAAGCATAAATGTACAAAATAATCAATAGATTAACTAATTATGTAATATAAAATTGATCTTTTAATTGTAGATGTAATTAAATTGTAATTTAATAATAACAAAAATTTCCAGATTTGAAAATAGCCATAGTGTCGGCTGAAACATTGTCAAAATAATGTAAAAGAAATAAAATGTTGCTGGAATATGGCCTTTAATTATAAAAATGAAAATATATCATATAAACATGTTATTTTAGAGACTAACTATTCATTTCATCTATTATTTTAATTACCTGATAATAATTGTGATCTCTTTTTTTTCTTCTGTTTGTTCTCTATTTATTTATATTTAAATGGTTTATTATTTTTAAATGAATTTATTTCTATTAATGTAATATAATTATTTTAATCTCCATATGAAACTTACATGTATATTTATTTTTGAAAAGTTCTAAAGCCAGCCTGGACCACATTTTGGATCAAATTACATACAATGTAAGAACTAAAGGAAAAGACATTGGGTTAGACTCTTTCCCTCTTCAAGATATCCATACAGAAATAAATCAAGTATAGCATTATATATTAATGGATGGTGTGCTAATTATTTATGGCCTTTTATTCTATTAAAAGTAATATCTTTTATAGGGAAGTGGTAAGCCTATAATTTTCAATTTAACAAATGGTATTATATATAATGTAACATCAGTCGAACGTTTCGGTAGCTCTGAAATTTCTTACAGTTCGAAGATATTTAAATTTGATTTGGGATTTCACTTTACTGGTCTTCAGGTAAGAATGTTATTTAATACTTATACTCTGACATTTTCTCTTTTTATAAGATTTTGTACAACAGGTTGAATGCGAATTTAATGTCATTGCATGGAACCTCAACCCAATTGGAAAACTGAAAGGTGGTGTGGAAGATTTTAGAATTTCAACCCAAGGGAGTATTGATCTCAATACTCTTAATGTGACGATGAATAAGATTCAAATTCCAACAACAGGGTAATTATTATCTACCATGTTACACAAACTTTAACCACTTGAGATCTAAACTTATGTAAATATATAATTCATTTTATTTAGGAAAATAGATTTTTCGGTGAATACTACGGTACCAATCTATGGCTATATAATTCAAGATTTATTCAATACAGCCACACCTTTCCAAGATATAATTATTTATGAAATTGGAAAAGGGTTAACTAAAAAAATTAACAGTATTCTGGAGAATCTTTTCATGTCAACAGTAATGGAACTAATCTAAAAGTTGGTATTTTTATTATATCTTCCAGAAGTTACAGCTGAACACTATTGCTGTGTGAAATTAATTGATCAAACATTTTTTAGGAAATCCAGGGAAGATAAAGAAGAAGAATTACCACCCGAAAATGGTACTTTTACAAGAAAATTAGATAAACAAAATGTTAAAAAGATCAGAATTTTGTTTGCAAACACTCACTATATACTTAAGTGAAGTGCAATTCATAATGTTCTTTTTTTTTTTTTTTTTTTCATGTTTTACTATATTGTTATCTGCAATTTGAGAAACTTCAAAGGATATTTAAAATTAAAGCAGTTGAGTCCAACAGGTCATTTGATAAAAATGTTTGAAAGTATTGAAATTAATAAACGTTGAAAGTAACATCAATAAGTTACTAATAACAATTATTAAATATATGTGGCAATATAATAAAATAACTTGCAGTTAATGGAAATCATGACAAGTCAGAAATTTAGAAAGGGCTATAAGATAAATAAAGTGACAAATCAATAAATAATTAAGTTTGGAATTTTTTTTTAAAAAGAAAACCATTGACAATCATCCAAAGAATGAGATAATTTTTAAAAACAAAAATAAAATTGCAGTAGTAATTAATAATGTTAAAAAGTGTTGAATGTGGCAAACAGTTTTTGGCTTAATTTCAATTAATATTAATTTATAACTTTGGATGGATACCTTCAAATTTTGTAATTAAATTTAAGAAAATAAAAATTTTAAATATTGGATTACAAACATAATGTTAGAATGTAAGTTTTTTTGCAGGCACAGGTGGATATACCGGGGAAGGAGGGAAAGGTTTTCGGGCTGAAACTCTCTTTCCCCTCCCATCCCCCCCCCCAAAATGGTAAAATATAACCATGTTTTATGAAAAATTTATCTCTAAAAGTATTATTGTTCGTATAATTACAATTAATAGGACTTAAAGAATTTCATGAACACCACTTCATATAGGCACTTAGTTTCTTTCTTGCTTCCGAAGTAATTATCGTAATATATCCATACAAAAAAAAATCTTCCTGGCTGAAGCCCCACCAAAATTAAATCCTGGATCATTTAGTGTTTGCAGGACAATTTCTAGTAAATCTACAATCCTTCTGAAATATTGAAAATTTTATATAAATATTGATACACAAGTTTACAAGTTTTTAAATGTCAGAAATTTATCATGAGATGAATAAAGAGCCTTGTAAGTGTTAAAATAGTTAAAATCTTGGGTGTCACTTGATTTAAATTATATGTGCCAATTTGTTTAATTTAAAAAAAATTGTTACTAAACATAAACATGCACGTAAATAATAAATTTATTATTATGTATTGATGAAATTGTATAAATATCTTCTCTTTATTTATGTGTCTATTTCTTTTTTCGTTAAATTTGATAGTGTATGATACAAATCATAAGCTTCTGGATAAAGGAGCAAGCTAATTAATGGAATGCTGGATTAGAAATAGTACAGTTCGAACAATTATTCTCAAAAATATTTAACTTATGAAAAGTAGTATAGTATTGATTTTGATGAAAATTATCTTCCATTTTTATCATCAAGGTAATTTACATTTGATTAATTATTAATGATATGCTGCTAATATGTGATATCAAAATTTTATTTGTTTGTTTTTTTTGTGTCAATAAGGTTCAGCATGCAATGTGTATTGATTATAAATATAAGAGTTTTTAATAAATGTGCTCCTAAAATGAAATTAATGTCATTGTAAATATATTCTATTTTTCAAAACACTTTTTTACTAGATTCAAGTAGTGGTTCTTTGTTTTATAATGTACAGTATTTGTAATTTAAATCATGAAAGTTTATCTTTTTAACTTTCCCTTACTCTTTATTTTTATTTGTGTTAAAGGAAATTTAGCATTAAATTTTAATATTGACAACCAATATCTATTTCCTATTAATTCGTCATATCTAATTGAAATTATTAATTATACCTTTAGAGGCAATTACTGTGTTCAGGTAATGCATGTATTCTATTTCAAATAATTGACAATTACTTTTATATTTTACTTCTTTTTTTTTTTAAGTTAGTTGCAGATGAATCAATTATAGCTAACCAAATTAGGAAGGCTATGTATAATTTTCATTATTTACGAGGTATATCAGATAAAAGAGGTCGATTTCAGTGTATTAGTTGTGTTTTTATAACATCAACTGTAGATATATTCAGTACCCTTTTAAAAACACGTCCTGTTGATACAGATAAATTCTTAAGCATCATAATTAATGTTTATGGTGAGAATGTGCTTCATGAACTTAACCGTCAGGTTGGTTGTTTATGTGAACATTTTTTATCCAGTATTTGTATTTTACTGTTACTTTTTTTTACTTATTTTACTGTTTTCATTTAAGAATGTTGCAGATTACTTGACCAATTGGCGTGGAGTTGTCATTGATTTAAAATCTCCCAATATCTTATATAGGTACATTCCACTGCATAAAACGTTTAAGACACATAAGCTATCTGACATTAGAAACAAGGAAGTAGTAAGTATATATTTTAATTATTGGTGTTAATTCTTTTTTCTATATAAATTGGTAAATATGTAGCAAGAATGAGTTTATATATATTTTATAATTTTGTCACATGTATAGTGTATTAAATAATGAATTGAATACAACTAAAATCAGGGTGATGGTTTATATCTCACATGAGCTAAGGGAGTGAAATATTTGTTGATGTATATTTGGTTTAATTGAGATTTTAGCTGCAATTAATTTCCCTGTTGGACAAGTGACCTTGTTAAAGTCTGTTGGCTTAACTAGAAGTTAAGAATTTTAACTTATCCTCCAGAATATTGAAAAAAAAAAAAAAAAACGATGTGTATCAAAAATCTTTCTTTTTATATTACTCGGAAGATATTTTAATTATTTACAAATACTAATTATTATACTGTGTATAAGTCATTTTAATAATTAAAAGTGGACATAATGAGATTCAATGAGACTCATGTGGATATGGACAAGAAATGTTGAGGTGGGAATAAGATAAATTAAAAAAATTGTAATTATTGATATGGTGCTATTATTATATTTTATTTATGTTAATGTATTAACAATGTAATTTTCTAACTGATTGAATAATACAGTGTTGTAGACACCATTTCTATCAGTACTACTCCACTAGACTTAATTTTTATCTCTCTTTCTCTAGCAGTTAGAATCAATGTTTGAACTTTGTTTTGTCAATTTCCCTTGCTATTGTACCACTTCTTTAAAATAACTTCTACATCTGAAAAAATATTTTTTGTGTTTATTAAAAAATATATATATTTTTTTAGTATTATTTTTGTTTTGAAAAAATTATGCAGATAATTTATCCCGATTTTTAACTAGGGAATAAATTATGGAAATTTCGGAGGAAGAAAATTGAGAGTTGGAACATTCAACTGTTCTGTAAATTCACAAATTGGACCTTTAGATGCAAATGGAAGGCCAAGTAAGTTCAATGAATAAGCTGCCTAAATTATCTATCAGTTATTTAACTTTTTTAGTTTTCTTGCTGGTAGATAATACCTCACTCTTAATTTTCACTTTCTTTGAAACTCTTATCATTATATTTGTACCTTCTCAGAGGTCGAAGGAATTTTATTTAAAATCTTACTCATTATCAACCAGTTTTGGGTACTGAAATTCTTTTCTCTGCAGTTATTTGCAAAAATTGTTAAATATCTTATCACAGAGATTATCAAAGCTGCTTTCTAAGAATATAATATAGGAAGCATTAGATACATATAATTTTGATTTTATATAAAAATAAAATAATCAGTGCTGATATTCACAAGTAAAGTAGATAATAAACATGATATTAGACTAAAACATCTCCTGTAAATTTTTCAATGATTTTCCAGATGGTTTGTATTTATTTTTCAGGTTGGATTGGAGGAGTGGAAATGAAATTGTTTGATGCCATTGCACGAAAGCTCAATTTCACTTATGAAATAGTTTTACCTCCTGATGGTGAGGGAGTTGGAGGAAGGCGAGATAGATATGGGAACCTGACCAGGGGATTGATTGGACTTGTTTTAGATAAGACAGTAGATGTTGCATTTTGCGGAATATGGCAGACATCATTTATTGAATCTCATTCACTCTTTATGACAAGTCCAATTCATGAAATATGTGTCACTTATTTAGTTCCCAGGCCTTTACCTTTTAGTCAAATGGGTTTTGGCCTGTTTAATTCTTTTGAATGGAAAGTTTCAGCGCTCATTTTCTTATCGATCATAATAACTGCTATATTTTTACAGCTGATTGCTTTCATCGCTGCTAAGTATGGTTACAGTCATTTTCAATTGACAAGTAAGTACTCGAAACTAGAAATGGTAACATATATAAGGTATGTCTTTAATGCTGACTGTGTAATTATTTTAGAATTCTTGAAACCTAACAATAACTTGTTCCAATTGTGGTCGATTTTATGCAACAATTCGCCAAAATCCTTGGCGATTTTTGGACCTCTTAGACATGTCCTTGTATGGTAAGTAATGATGCATTAAACATAAGTCTATGTGAATAAAAAAATGAGGTTGACTCATGTAATAAATCATGATCTTTATAAGCTAGTTATACAAGATTGGTAACTTGTAATATAGCTTGTCCCTCCTGTCCTAGTTATTATATCTATTAAAATAAATCATATCTAAAGAACTCATAATTAACCATCATTTAATAGATTAATGACTGTGGGGAGAAAGAGTAGGTAACTAAAGTTTGGCTGAATCATACTCTAAACCAAGGAAAATGTTTTTAGAGGTAACCTGTAGTTTTCTTTTACTACTGTTTCTTACTCTGATGTAAATATAATAAATAAGAATATGAAGTAAACATATCCTTCCTCTACTTTTAAGGCAGAGTAGCCCTTCAAGGGGTCTGGGTCACCTTCACAATTCTTACTTTTCAGAAATTTCTGAGGTGTCTTGTTCAGGGACATGACATGTGGACATATACTGTATTTAGCAATGGCAAAATTGGTTATTTTTTCAGAATGGAAACAGGAAAAACGATTAGATTGGGGCAATCTTAGTTATGCCACTAATAATTATTAACTATCATTTAATAGATTAATAAATAAGGAGGAAATGAATAAATAAATAAATTATGGTTTGTCATGTAGTTGTTATTCAGCAATGTTTTGAGGCATATTGTTAATTAATATCAAACCAAAAGTAATTAAGGAGAAAAACTAGACACATTTGAATCATACTTTAAAGCCAAGGTCAGATTAACAGAAATAACGAATTCTGCGGACACCGTCACCAGACCAGAAACTTTCAAGTTCGTAAAAAAGAATTTGGATGTTCTTTAATGTTTCTGTATAGTTTTTCTCAGTTTTCACCATCGATTGAACCTTCTTAAAAATATCCATTATTAGATACAGATTCAAAACTTGTATTTTGAAGACTATCGAACACCCTGTGGTCTCCTTATCTGATAGTGTGACTATGTGTGGTTTGATCACTGTCAAACACGGGCGGATCTACCGGGGGAGGGGAGCTTTCGGGCTGAAGCTCCCCCAAAATGGTAAAATATAACCATGTTTTATGGAAAAAAATTCTAAAAATACCTCTTAAAGTATTATTGTTCGTGTAATCACATTTAAAAGGACTTTAGGAATAACTTAAACACCATTTCATATAGGTAGTTAGTTTCTTTCTGTTTTTCTAAAGTAATTATCGTTATTTTTTTTAAAAAAAAAAGCTTTCGGGCTGAAGCCCCCCAAAATTAAATCCTGGATCCGCTAGTGCTGTCAAATAAGTTTGGTATCCCAAGTAATATGGAGCAGATGTTGCATTCTACGAATGTCGTAATCAGTGAATGGAATAATCAAGAAGATGGGTAAGTCAAAATCAAAATAATGGCCATCTTATTTTAGAATGCACGCAAGCGTCGAACGCTTAGTAACAGTTATTCTATCTGTAATAGACTTGAACACGAAATATGGTCATTAGGAATTGTTCAAGCAATGCGACCTACATTTTATGATGTTCAAGATAAAGCCAAAATCTTGACATATTGTACAAAATATCAGCAATATACTGAAATACCATGTAGAAGAAATAATAATAAGACTATTTGAGCAATTCTCTTGCGCTCGATTAGATTTAAAAAATGAAACTATTAAACTTTAATGAATTTATATCCCCCACTTTGTATTGCTTGACAAGAGCGAATCAAACAAAGGATATAATTTTAAAAGAAACATACATATAATCCCAACTTTTGCATTTGTCGGAATATTTTTATAGGATCTAAGTTGTAGGATCAACCATTTTCCTTTTTGCAAGCCATGTATCCTCTTCGGCACAGAATAGTTCGTTTTATAATTATCTTCGTCTGATAATCGTTTTATATTAGAGAGCGTATGATTAAAGGCCAAAATCTAGTTTTGAATAAATAATGTACACTGTTTCATATTTTTTTTACTTGCACCAAGGTTGTATCTCTCCTGTCATATACACGGTCAACCATAAATTATCCATTATAATAAAAAAAATACAATCGAAAACGACAAACGACACTTAGCAGTACTCCTTCCCCCCCACCAGATCCCAAAATGTTCTACAGACTCCTACACATCCAGAATGGTATACATATATCACACCCTACCGCAGGCGGTTCTACGGTGGAGGGGATTTCGGGCTGAATCTCCCCCCTCTTTCCAAATGGTAAAATATAACCATGTTTTATAGAAAAAAAAAGATTAAAAACTATCTCTTAAAGTATTATTGTTCGTATAATTACATTTAATAGGACTTCAAGGATCACTTTAAAAAAGCTTTCGCCCCCCTCCCCCAAAATTAAATTCCAGTTCCGTTAGTGCACCCTACTCCGATTTCGTCATAGTTCTCCCTCTTGACATAATGCACCTGCAGAGATGAGCATTCCTCCCAAGATATTTTATACCCATCTTCTTCTTAAAAACAGCGCAAACGTAAGTAGAATTTAAATATTCATAGATCATATACAATTACACATACCATTCTTCCACTTATGTTTTAATTTTAAATTTTTCATTTTGAAAATTCACAACCCCGTCGTAACGTGCTCCCCTCAAAAATTGAAAACCCCGTCAGAAAGTGCTCCCTCATAAATTTTGATGGCCCAACTTGCGCCATCAAACCCCCTTCTGGGCACTCCTGCACACCTGTCTACTCTGTTATCATCTTTTGATTGACCACATTCTTATATTAATTATCTTTTCCCAGATCTTAATATTCTAGGCATCTTTGCTTTTTCTCAAGTCTAAATTTTACCTACATAAATCGTAGTTCAGATCTTCAAAACTTTTCTTGTCTCAAAGCCCTGATATTGACTTGCAAAGTGGTTCGAAACGTAGATTTAAATAAATATTTGAAGTTTTTTTTTTTACTGTCACCTCTGACCATCTATTCCATGATTAAGAGTTGTGATAAATCGTACGAATCAAAACTGTCCTTTATTTGTACCAATGAATGTACACAAGTTAATATTTTTTTTTTTAGGTGGGCAGTATTTTCTTTTCTGATAAATGCAATGTTCTCAAGTTCATTAGTTTCTCACTTGACTGCAACTTTGTACGACAAGCCTCTCGATTCGATTCAAGCTTTAGTAGAAAATAACTACTACTGGTCTTTAAATAAAATGCCATATCTGAGTAACTTATTGAATAGTGATGTAAGTTGAATTGTTATGAAAATTTGTGTTTTAAATGTCTCAATTATTTTCCTTATTTTTTTTATTTCAGAATGAATGGGGTGAAAAATGGGTTCAAAGGTTCTGTTTCAGAAGTGAGAAAAGCCTGTGCACCATCTTGCAAGAAAATGATAATAAATTAGCTATATTCGCCGTAAACTATGAATATGGAGTGCTATTAGAAGAAAACATTGATTGTAAACACATTTTGCGCAAATATCAAACACTAGCCGAATGTGCAAGCAAATATAGAACTGTATTTTTAATTCGACATCGATCACCCTACAATGATTTGTTCTCCGATTACATAACTAGATATCGTGAAAACGGACTGTTTCTAAAAGAATATAGAGAATTATTTTATCAAAAAATATTACAAGATAATTATATCTTAGAGTTACGATTACCTTCGAATATATACAATATTAAGAAAGTGAAACTAAGATTATCCAATACCTTAGCAATTTTTTATGTATTTTGTATTGGAATGATAATTTCTGTAATAGTATTTTTGTTAGAATTATTGTGGCATCGTAAAACTTTCACTTTTGCATTTTAGTGTAAGCGAAGCTAGCAAAACTTTGAGGTTGGAATACATTTTCAAATTGCATATGTACATGTACATTACGACTATTTTATTTCATATTACTACCCTCTTGATTTGTGATTGTTACATAATATCTATTAAATGAAGAAGCTAGATTGCTTAAAGGATTATTCCATTGATAAACTTGGAATTCAAGGACATTATTTATCTACATAGGTAATAGAGAAACTATTCAAAATATGCTGTGGTTTTAATATGTTAAAAATTGGATGCTCGTCCACATATTTCAATAAAATGTCATATAACAGTGCTCTTTTGGATAAGTAAAGGAAAGATGAATCCACAAGTATAAAAAATATTATTTCTATCAAATATTTGCAATTAATAAATCATTACTGTAAGATAATAATAATCTATCATAATTTGTCTACTCTAGTTACTCTACTCAAGATCTTGGCGTATCATATACTGATATACAAAACAGCATTAGACACTAGCGGATCCAGGATTTAATTTTGGGGATGGCTTCAGCCCGAATAAAAATAACGATAATTACTTTGGGAAAAAAGAAAGAAACTAATTACCTAAATGAAATTCAAGAATCATTTATACACCATTTTATATAGGTATTTAGTTTCATTCTTTTTTTTTTTCAAAGTAATTGTCGTTGTATATATGAAAAAAAAGCTTTCGGACTGAAGCTCCCCAAATTAAATTCTGCATCCGCTAGTGGTATGAGGTGTGTAAAAAAAGTAATGACTGGTAGCACTGCGAGTGATCTAGCTATGCTGTGTTGTTCTAGATGTCTAGACAGGTTTGTACATTCCTTCCAGATGTTCAGTCAGAGTCTAAGCACTGAGATGCAAACCTGCCCGTAAGGGAATTATAAGAGCACCATCAGTTAAGCTGTATTTTTGTCTTATGTTAGGAAAATAGGACAGCGGAATTCAGACCAATGCTACGCCATCAAGTTTTGTGTTAAATTTTGGGTAATATTCCTCATCAAGGGCACAGGTTTTTCCCTTTTTCCGAGAACATGTTGAAGATGGACTTTATTCAGTGAAACCTTCAACTTCAAAAACCGACAAAACTCCAAACCCAAAGTTATTAACAAAGATGTACTAAATAAACTGAAGAAAAGGGTAATTCGTGTGAGAACAGAGAAGTGGATGCTTCGTCATGACAACGCTCCACTTTAAACGACAATTTCCATCACGGAATTTTAGCCAACAAAACATAATCCTATTGCTTCCCAGCCTCCTTAATTACTTGGTCTAAGTCCTTATGACTTTGAAAATATCTTAAAAGGTCGTAATTTTGGGATTCTGGTGAACATTCAAAAGAATATGACCGACTTGTTAGAGGCTCTACCAGTTGAAAGCTATCGGCGCTGCAACCAAGACTGGGAACAAGAATTCCGTTGATGTATAACTGCCAAAGTTTATTACTTTGAAAGAGACAGTATTGTTTGAAAACAAATAAAAACTTTGAAAGATAAAAAAATCAGGCTCATTACTTTTGTTCTCACCTCATTATGTATGTACATCCTCATTAGCCAAAATTATAATTAGGCCGTTTATAACACTAGGAGACCGCCGCTTAAGGATAACGGAATACCCAATGGAACGATAAGTATGCAAATCGATCTTAAGATCATTATAAGAAACAAATCTAGTTTGGTAAATTCTTGAAGAAGCAGAAACTGAGTTCTTAGTCGATTATCACACAGATAACTGAACATCGAAATATCTATGGTCAGAATAGAATAAGCTTCTTAAGCAACCAGGTTTTACTGCCTCATTGTTTAATATTTTTAAAGTCAATGCCAATTTTAATCAAAATTCTTAAGATACTTCGGCCGATATAGCATCATCTTCGGTTATTTCGTGGTAAAAATGTTGTCCATTATATACCCACTGTCCAAAGTTACGGGACAAAGAATTCCTTTGAAAAAAGATGGTAGAAGTTAAATAATTTTGTTTTATAATAATCTTAAGGCCTGTCAAACCAACAATCATTTTCAAAATCTGTATCTCTACTACCCATGGAGGTTCTCCGAATCAGTACTTTGTAATGAAGTGGTGTTTCTTGGTCAACGGTTGTACAAGGAGATGATTTGACCTTAATTAATTATTTAATTAAGAGTAAGCACTATATTGGGTCTGTGTGTGAGCCAGGTCTTTCCGACTCCAGTGTCAATCTACGCCTGGTGTAACGGAATGAACCTATTACAACCTTATTCGAACCTAAGATATGGCGCAGATGAAATTGATTTAATCCGCATAACGTACTTCACGACAGTTAACCACCGCATTTGCCACCTCAGAATCTGGAGGAAATTTTACTATTACACCATCTTTAACTTTCATACCCCGAGTGAAATTTCGACTGAAGAACTTAAGAAGAACTTATATTGAACTGTAGGTAGTTGCCTTTATAGTGATGTTAAAGTCGCCCTTATGGACGAAATAACAACATATAGTCTCCATGAAAACTCAAATGGTCATAAATTAGTTAATTTTGCAGCCTCAAATTATTTTTTAATTGAAAGCACTATATTTCCTAGAAAAAAATATCCAAAAAGAAATAAAGAAATTAAAACATGTACAGTAGTATTAAGCCAAAATCGAATCATATCAGTTGCCAAATTTGTAGATATTCAAAATCAGAGCGCGAATATCAAATGCAAAAAAGTTAAGAGACAACAATCAGGAAAAAACAACCACACTTATGATGAAGATGCCGGAAACAAGCAGCGTTTATAGGGAGATTAGATCAACTTCTTCCATAACAATAACAAATGATCCAACATATGACTGATGAGCTGTCTGCTCGCAGATAATTAAAACTGTGGTAAAGGAAGTATTAAGGCTAGCTGAGGACACGGGCGGATCTACGGGGGGAGGGGGCTTTAGGGCTGATACCCCTCCCCAAAATGGTAAAATATAACCAAGTTTTATGGAAAAAAATATTAAAACATTATCTCTTAAAGTATTATTGTTCGTGTAATTACATTTAAAAGAACTTAAGGAATCACTTAAACACCATTTCATGCAGATTGTTAGTTTCTTTCTTTTTTTCCAAAGTAATTATCGTTATTTTTATGGAAAAAAACTTTCGGGCTGAAGCCCCCTTCCCAAAATTAAATCTTGAATCAACTAGTGTTTCACCGTCAATATAAAGTGGGACTTCCGGTTAGCCAATTTTAACGAAAAAATTTCCGCCACATCAGAACTATGTAAAAACCTTAAATACTCAATTTAAGTTTCGTACGACTTTTCGTTTCATCGCTGTTCACATACACACAGACCATTTGCGATACTTGGTTATTTGGACTCAGGGAACCTCAAAGCGTGTATTTCCGTTGAAAACTCAGATTCGAACATTTTCGCGAATGCAATACTTTCCCTTACAATATATTACATATATAGGTAATTGAAAGTAAAATCTAATGTGAGTTGCAAGCTGAAAGTTACGACTACTGAAAACAATACAGAAGTATAGAGGTTGTCCTGTTGTCAGGATCTAACATCTCTTGCTAAATCAATGTAAAGTTTTTTTCAAACCTTGTGAGAAAAAACTGACATTTTTTAGTAACTGGTCGGGTTTAAGTACTTTCTAGATGAACGAGACATTTTGATTCATTGTTAAATGAACATGAAGAGATGAAGCTATAAATAAACTTAAAAACATGAAATCCACAGGTAGTAATAAACTAAGGTTTTGAAATAGGGCAATGGCAATAACGAATTTAATTAATAGGATATATCTTGAGATCGGGCAACGAATATGGAAGGCCAATTGCTTTTATTTTGGAAATTGGTGGTAGAGAAACAGGAATAGTCGAGAAGAAGAGACCAAAGCTAAGAGAGGAAGAAGAATACCCAAGACTTTTTTAATCGTGCTAAATTGGAGAGCGGCAGAAGACCGAAGCCACCTGGCGAAAGATCATAAAGATCATACAAGAGATATCGTTTATATGGTGTCTGAAGTGATATTTGATGATTAAGAAAAATGGATATAATTTAAAGGATTTTTCATCATTTACTGCATCAACGTTGTAACCAAAATATGTTAAGTAGTTGTGTATGAAATTTTAAATAACTCTATTTTAAATTACAGTCAAATTTAAGAACAAAATAATAAGTGGACGATGGGCCTTAGGGACACAGAATAGATACTCCATTAATTAATAAAAGTTTACTTCATTGTAAATATTCCTGAGTTATGAATAGCGAGTATGACTATTTTAACAGAAGCTGAGTGATAATTAGTTCTATTCATACGTTATAATAAATCGTTTAATGGTTGATAACAAATATATTTATTATAGCTTTCGATAAATTATCAAACGGTTTTTAACGTTATCCTAAACTATTGTTTGTAGAATTGCCTGAGAATGCTTTCTCAGTTTACAATGGATCTGTTGTCTTTTGAATTATACCAATTAAGTTAATATTAATGTAATATAAGATTCCCTAACGATATCAATTGTTGTGGTATCGTTTGATGGTATTGTATTACATCCCGAACTTAATGATACATTTTTTCTTTTTTGAGAAATGATAATTATAGAGTAGTGAAAAAAACAAAATAATAAAATCAGAATAGAAGTTTTGTCATTCTTTAATTATCTATTGAATTTATTTACCTAAATCAGTACTTTACCACTCTGACGTAAAAAATATTTCCAGAATATAAGGAGGGGGGTGGAAAGTATAATATTTTTAATTTTATTTGAATAAACAAGTAAAATTCATTTGTCGAATTTCGGACATATCCATTTATTTTATTAAGTAATTAACTATTGAGTACCTGGAAAAACATAATTTGTTGAGAAATCAAGCATGAACCTCATGCTAACCTGTCCACAGTTTGGTTTAAAGTTCGGTTTGTTTTGATGTGGCTCCGTTGCATGTAATAAAATTTCATTCTTAGTTTTTAACATGTAACATACGATGACACAAGCTATGATTAGTTATATATGATCTACAGAACTGATTAAATCTATC